CATAACCTACATATATTAACTTAAAGTGGCGGCGGCAGAATATTGACATTCTGTTCTTCTCCTCAAAATCTGTGTTCTATTGCTCTTCCATCACTCTTTCTTCTACATCTTCTTCACTTTCTCTTCTCATCGAACCTGAAATCTCTTAGTGATCAAGACTGAATAGCAGTCTTGAAAACCTACAACAGCATTTACCCCCACCTTGTCTTTTATTTTCATCCTTTCCTTCCACCTATCCCATCACCCTTCACCCTCTTATCCCACCCTCCTCTCTGTTTTTTCAGATCCCTTACCCGCCTCTTTTCTAGTTTCTCCCTTTCAATCAACTCCTCCTTCTGAAACTTGTCTGAGCCTAATTGCGAAATTTTCAGCCCCATCTTCTCAACCCACTTCCTTAGTGTTATCTCCTCATCAGATTCACCCTCCCCATGATCCTCAACTTCTTTCTCTCTATCTTCTACCAACCTTGTTTTCCTACCATCATCTTCTCTATTATCCCCCACAGCATCAATTGCTGCTACCTCCCCCACCACATCACTTGCTCCCCCGTCAGTCTGGGCACCTTCAGTATTTTGGGGCCCTCTGTGAAAATGGTTCTCGGCTGTAGTGTCTACAAGGATATCACAATCACCAGTAGTAACCAAAACCAAATCCACACAGTTACCTTGGATACCCGGTAAATCTAGGTTGATTATTGGATGACATAGTGAGGGCATACAGATGGCATCCCCAGTTCCCAACTCAGTGGGTGTTGCTGGTTGGTCAGTGTCTTTTCTGAATCAAATGGCCTTGGCCTGGGTTTGGCACTTTGGCCTTGATTGGCGTGTCAGTGTTTATCTCCTGGCTCGCCTCACTCAACCCTAAAGATGCTCCCTGACGCTATTTATGGCTCTGGTTTGGTTCCTCCTCCTTTGATGGCAAGTTTTCTACAGCACATGAGGACCTTATGTCTGTCACCGGTTCCAGACTAGATTGAATCTGACCGACTTGATCGTCTAGATTAAGCTTGAAGAGTGCTTCCATGTCGCCTAGCTCCAGCTCCAAACCTTGGTCGCATCCAACAAAGGAGTTTTCATCCGAACTAGAAAACTCTAATTCTTCCTCCGAGTCACACCAATCTGACTCGCTAACTACCTGTGCATCATTTCTCCGCCTAGTGAATCTTGGATTAGGGTGCTCTGTCACCCTCTTTGGCCACGGTTTCCATCTTTCACCATTAGCCTTGCACAAGATGCACTGGTTTGGGAAAGTCTAAAACCACTGGGAAAGTTTGGGCAATGGAATTGGCAGGTTGCACCAAAAAAACACCAGAAGGAGATAAGGTCCAAATTCTACTACCCCTTTTGAAAAGTCTAAAACCACCCCCTTCAAGACATGAATTAAGCCCAAAACATTTCCAAGTTCTGAATCCCAAATGCCTCTTCTAAGACACAAATCCCAATCGAAGCCGAAGCTTGACTCAAAAGGGATCAAAAAATTAGACACAACTTTCCCTTTCTCCAAGTCAGAAGGGATCAAATCCCAACCATTTTCCAGACAGCCATGAATACTACCAATTACCTCATGCCACAACCTCTCCCTCTCCAAAGGCCATCTCCACAGCCATTTCCCTAGAAGAGCAATATTCTTCTTTGCTAAATTCCCTAAACCCAATCCTCCCTTCTCTTTTGTCCTATAAACAATCTCCCAATTGACTAAGTGATCCTTTTTAACCTCCCTAGGTTCCCATAGGAAATTTCTCATTAGCTTCTCTAACCTCTTAGATTCCCTAGAGGGGATTCTAAAGACAAAAAGTAAACGGGTAGGTTAGCTAGTGTGGCCTTTATCAGGCAACTCTACCCCCCAAGGAGATGTAGTTCTTTTTCCACGTTGCCTATCTCTTTTCAAATTTTTCTAGGATTGGATTCCAAAAACGACTTTCCTTGGGGTTTACCCCTAGGGGAAGACGTAAGTAGGACAAGGGCCAAGAAGAGGGAAGAGGTAGGGCAGTCTAAGCATTCGATAATATCCCTCAAAGCCCAATCTTCTAAGTTGAAGCCTGCCGCACAACTCTTGTTCCAGTTCACTTGTAGATTGGAGACAAGTTCGAATAACTTTATAACCTCTTTTAGATTCCTTACATTCCTTAAATCATTCCCTTCACCAAAAATTATTATGTCATCAACAAATTGGAGGTGAGTGATTGGGATATTATTCCTACCTATTCTCCAACCCCTGGGATATTTAGCCTTTTAATATATCTATATTTAATTTTTTGATAAGTTCATAAAATAGAAATAATCTTACGATTTACGATATGGTTCATGATTCGATTCGATTCGACTTTCTTTATAATTTAAGATAATTATGATTTTCAAAATATTGATCTAAAAAATGCCTAGCTGACCCGATTTTAGCCTTGAACCTACCATTCATTTGCAATTAGAGCACTCTATTCCAAACAATTGGGATAAGGGTTGAGTTCAATTGAGAGTTTAATTTGGCCAAAATTGTAACCAAAAAATACAACTTTCAATGAAAGGCTTCAATTTCATCTAGATATTCTCAGCCCAAGTTAGAGCATTCTAGTTTGTTCATTGTAAATGATGTTGAAATTTTGCAAAAATCAAAATTTGTTGAATTTAAATTCCTTGACTTTATAAAATGCAGTATAATTTTATTGGCAAATCAAGGAAAGCACTAAAGCTTGGGAAAATAACTGATGGTATAAAAGTAACTTGAATATTATGTTCAACAAGCATGCATGCAATAAAATGTACTAGACTACTAGTGTCAGCATACCACGAAAATATAGCATGTTTTGTTAAGCGGTTGAACTTGTCTTCCTATTAGAATCCAGAGGTGAACAACAATATAAAAATCACAATCAACTTGGCATTTTAGTCAGTTATTTTATCACCAATATGAACCTATTGTTGTTTCTGTTTCTTTTTTCTTTCCGTTAGCCCTTGAAAGCATCTTCCACAGACCTTTTTCTATAAATAAAAAATTGGCATAATTCACAAACAAATGATAAATGAAAAGATCAGATGATAAAAACAAACAAAGATGCAACTAACTTCTAATCAAAACTAGCTTTCCTTAACTGCATTTACTTACACTTTTTTGGATTCAATTGCTAGCCGCACTTGGGTCTTCAAACCAGCATATGAGAAATTGCAGTCCTTGTGTTGTTTCATTGGGATCTATGGATCAAACCAAATCTTAAACTGAGTGGGCAAGGTAAGGAACATGATATTAACTGTAAGAGGTAAATTTAAAACCCCTCCCCCCTAAAAAGGAAAATTAAAAGGTACCGAGAATTTGATAGATTCAGCATCTCCTTCTTGAGCAAGCTCCTCTAGAGCTGGGCCACCTCCTCTTCTCATATCAAGCCCAAGCCATCTTGCTGTCTTGTCATATGCTTCACCGATTGCATCATCTATTGTGGTCCCAAGTTGTATATATTGGCCAAGGTCAAGAGCAAGAACAAGGAGATTATGTCCTCCTGAAAATTGAATGAGCACATGTGGCAAATCTTGTCAATTTCCAAAATAACATGGTCCCACTTCAAGTAAAATGAAAAAAACTACATATTCATCTGAAGATAGTAGGAAAAAAGTCATAGGTTGCATCATCTATTATTTCCTCTCATAGTTTTTGTTTAACCACTTTCTTCCGAAGTTGTGTGCCTCATAACCTTGAAACCTTGATGACAACGACAACTTTGTATTTGACCATATTATATATATATATATATAGTTCTTTGTGGCAATTGACTTGAGAGTAACATATTTTTTTATAGTAATTTATGCTCCACCCTATATATAATATATTGATAAATGGCAATAACAATGAGGCAGGTTAATAGAGTAAGCCTGCCCCACCACTAATGGGATAACTTTAGTACAAGTATTAACAGGTAAGGTGAGTTTTGTTATTATATATATATATATATATATATATATATATATATATATAGTTCTTTGTATATATAGACTTGAGAGTAACATATTTTTTTATAGTAATTTATGCTCCACCCTACATATAATATATTGATAAATGGCAATAACAATGAGGCAGGTTAATAGAGTAAACCTGCCCCACCACTAATGGGATAACTTTAGTACAAGTATTAACAGGTAAGGTGAGTTTTGTTAGCAAAAGTCTAACCAGTGTCAAGTTTGAGACCATGGTTGAAGAAACTGCTCCATCAGGTCACTGTACTTGCACAAAAATAGATAATATATAGGGTTTCTAACTTCTTTCACCGTTTTCGTACCCCTCTCTTAAAGCTACAGGCCTACAGCTAAAGCTAAAGGGTTTCATGCTGATATTGTGTACAGATCCTTGTCTTTGGCAATCACAATGAAAGAATTAGATATTGATGAAAAAGAGAAAAGAGAGCCAGTAATAGATTCAGTGATCCTCTAAGCAAGCTTTAGATTGATCATGTGCCTTTCATCCCTATTCCCCATCCCAATGACCCAACCCTTTGACACAGGGAAACTGCCATCTTTCTTCTCATTTGTTATAGTTTTTGGTTTTTTATGCAGAGTCGGGGAGTAGTGACAGGCCCTTTCTTAATAATATGTAATGCTAGAATATAACACATTACACATAGCAACAGTGCAACACATCACTCCAGGCAGGAGATTTCACCCACAGATCCTAGACTCAGAATCCCCAGTTCACAGCCCCCCCCCAACTTGTCTCCCTGAGTATGTATATTGCACCCTCAGAATGCAAGACATGTGAGCACCAGTATTTGATGAACAAAATGCAAAATTTAACAACCTAAAATAGTGTAACAGAACAAGGACACTTACCTGAAATTAAAAGGGCCAAGAATGGAAATTGCAAGTCTCTCTCAATTAACCTAGATAAAAGGAAATTTTAGATAATCAGACATGTTAATCACTTACAAGCATTTGGATCAAATGGATGAAGTTGCTACATGGCAGTTGTTTTTGTTTTAGAAAACAAAAGCACTCATGTTGTCGAACACCCCCTAATAATATAACAAATAAAGATTGAACAGTATAGATTTTCTCGAAGAAATTTTCACCAAAGAAAACCTACAAAGGTATCCAATAAAACAAAAGGGACAGGAAGAGGATAGGTGCAATGACAATTAGTTATACCTCTTCAACAACAAAGATTTAATTGGGAGAATCATCTGAAGAGGAAAGAAAATTTCTTGAAGGAATTAAAAGTTGACAGTGTCAAAGTAAAAGGAAATGAGAAAAATGTATGGGAGCTCATAACTGAATACAATGAAGTTGAAAAAAAAGACATTATATTAATAGATGATGATCAAAAAAAAATGAATGAATGAATGAAAGAAAGAAACTGAATACAATACAGTTGAGATGAGCACTCTTAATCTTCTAGTACTTATCATGCATGTATCCTTCCTATTTTCTTGGGCCTTGAAAATGAAACTATGCTTCTTTTAATGTTTCCTAGGGTTCCACTAAAAAATTCACATTTTCCATATTTATCCCCAATTTCCCTTAATTTTCTAATATTTCTTTGATATGCAACTAAAAACTATTGATAGAGGAATTGAACAAGGTTTTGAAACAGTGCTTTGGAACAGGAAAAAGACTAAATGGCCCAAAAGGAAGCTAGTGAAGATTCATGTTTGAGAAAAATATTTGGGAAGTCACCTTATAACATTATTAAGACACTTGATAGAGTATCACTGAAAATGGGATTTGCATAGCCAGATTCAAACAATTAAGATAATATAAAAATCTTTAAATTTATCTAGAGAGATTAAATTATTCATATTCCTGACACATTCCCCCGTAAACTGCATAAGACATAGATACCTTGCCTATGGATATCATAGCTAACATATGGTAATACAGGCCAGATGGGGTGGGCTACAAGAATATGCACATCATATTCATATGTGAAAACAACAACATACTGAATTCAATGTAAGTTAGTTACCTGGTGCTATTTAACTTCATAAGCATCTAAGTTCTTCAAGTATCAACAATTCGCTGTAGCAAATTCTTAGGCATCCACAGACATAATTGCAAAACTTATTAACAATTTTTCTTTCAATTAGATCATAATTCATGTACATTCTTGGCTATCCTTTTTAAGCTTATTCCATATCAGTTGCCCATAGAGATTCTTGAACTAATATCAAAAAGGCGACACAAGGTGCATGCAGAAAGAAACATGCATATTTGACAACCAATCCTCACCAGAGAAGGTGGTCCTTAGAAAGGCTGTAGTTACAGTGCATGGAAATCTGTCTGCAATGGCTTCAAGGATGTGCACCTAATTTTTATGTTTATTTCAATGCCCTGTGCCCCTGTCCATGCCTAATTGAGCCTTACTTTGTTCTGTGTCAGTTTTTGTGTTGTATATCATCATCATCATAATCATCATCCATTACCTTATCCCAACTATAAGGGGTTGGATACATGAACCCTGTTTCACCAATCCATTATATTCAACGTCACATCCACTGTTAAACTATTAGTGCTTAAATCATTTCTTATTATTTCTATCTACCCATGTTCTTTTTGGTCTATCATGAGCTCTTCAAGCCCCTTCAATGTGTAACAAATTACTTCTTCTAAACTGGCATAGTTGGTGGTCTTCTATGCGTGTGCCCAAACCATCTTAGTCTACTCTTTCTCATTTTATCACCTATTGGAGCTGCTCCTGGGTTGCTACAGATAACTTCATTCCTAATCTTATCCTTTCTAGTTTTCCCACTCATCCATCTTAGCATTTGCATTTCTACCACATTCATTTTCTGGACATGTTTCTTAACTGCCCAACACTTTGTTCCATACAACATAGCTGGCCTTTCAAGTTACACGGGTGTGCATACTTTTTACTACATATAATTTTTGCTATATAATGTCGATACTTGCCTTGGCTTCAAGTACAGAGTACTACAGACCACCATGTAAAAAACCTGATCCATTTCTTTCTCCTCTCTCTCTCTCTGCATTTATTTTCCTTACTCATCTCTCTTCCTCTCTCCTTGTGCACATGCTATCCAACTAAATTATACTTTACCTATTCAAAAAAATATATACAAAAAGTGCATATGCTTTGCACATTAAATATTTTTTCATACAAGTGAAATCTAAATACCTGGCAACCAGAGCATGAGCTTCCATGTGATGAACACCAACCATTGATAGGTTGAACTTCCCAGCAATTTTTCGAGCTTTCCGCACACCAACTACATTAGAATTTCATGAAGATTAATAAATAATATTCTCCTTTCAAAAAAATCCTTTCAAGATTAATAACCTTATTCAGTGAGTGGTCTATGGGCAACAATTCTAACCACCAAGGAAAATAAATGAGAGAGCATGTATATGGAGGTGTCTGGTAGAGATGCAGTTGGAGAGAGTTCAGTCATCACTGATAAAAAAATGGAGTTCAAAAATACAAAAAAAAAAAAATGAAGCAGGATGAAAGATGTAGAAGCTAGATTACCACGTAAACAAAGACTTAAACCTGGTCCAATAGTAACAGCAACTGCAGAGAGATCCATTTCGGTCAAATTTGCTTTGCCAAGTGCCTGTTCAACTACCTGCAAGAAGGAAATGTAAAGTTTGACTTGTTCCCAAATAACAGATACTATGAAAAGGAAGAAACACTAGCAAACAAAGTGCTTTGAATTTTTAAATGCAATACCTGATCAATCACTTGAGAATGTGCTTCTTCTGCCATTTTAGGAGCAACACCTCCATATCGTGCAAGCAAATCTGCCTTGATGAAGTGGAAACATAAAATTAGCACATATAAATTTTGCAAGCACCAAAATAGATTTAAAACCTCACGAAATGGGAACAGATAGAATAGTAAAAAATAATTTTTTACCACTTCATATCACATTTTCTTTAGTCTTCCCCTAACTCTTTTAGAACCTTCTAATTACCAATTCATGCCTCACTGGTGCAGTCACTGGTCATCTCTAAACATGAAGAAACCATCATAGTCAACTTTACCTCATCTTGTCACTAATTGGAGCTATTTGTGAGTCCTCTCTAATGCACTTATTTCTAATATGTCCTCTCTAGTCTTGCCACTCATATATCTCAGCATCCTAGTTGCAAATCACACCAGCAATAAATCTGGAAAATAGAACAAAGAAGAAAGAAAAGAGGAAGAAAGAGAAGTTCTGATAAAGATTTAGAAGAAAGAAAAGGGAATGGAAGAAAAGGGAAGAGGAAAAGAGATGATCCTCTCCCCCCCCCCAGATTAAATATGTATTGAATAACAAAATTTGTACAGTGGCATGAGTGCCCCTAGTTGGGCGGCTGACTCAAAGAACATAAAAAAGAATAAGTAATAAGGCCCATAAAATAAAAAGTCCACTGCAGCAGAAACAAAGCTACTAAAAAATAAATAGAACTAAGGCCTATTCAGCCCAATCTCTCTACACTCCCCTTCAAGCTGAGCATAGATGTTAATCATGCCCAGCTTGCTTATCCAAGGGGGAGTGTGAGGTTCTGATGTCTCCCTTGCCTGTGATAGGGGCAAGAGAGACATTAACAGGGGATATTGTCTCAACCAGATAGAAGTTGGTAGGTAGTGAATAAATGTGAAACACCAGTCATATGGTCTAAAGCACTAGAATCTATTACCCAAGGGATTTTACGATTACCTGAAATAGTAGCATGATTTGCAGTAGCACAAATACCTGACTGTGCAAAAGGAGAAGAAGAATCGATTTCTAAAGGAGTAGGTGGTGCTATAGTTGTAGACTCCAAGTGACTAATTATTCGACCATATTTCTCATATTCAGCCCTAGCAACTGCAAGCTATTCCCCAACAGATTTCTCAACACTCAGCCCCTGTTCACTCTGTGAGGAGGTGGCTACATTTGCATTGCCACCTTTCACACTCTCATTCTTTTTACCATTATTTCCATTCTTGAATCTAGTAGGCATGAGCTCTGGATGCAGCTTCCAACAGGTCTCCTCAGTATGTTTGGGCTTCTTACAATATCCACACACAACACCCTTCTTTCTAGTATTAACCCTTGGCTTTATCCCGACACTAGCATAGTGGTCAACTTGAGGTGCCACAGACTGAATTTGTTTCCTACTCTCCTCACTACTAACCATAGCATAGGCTTGAGGCAGTGTCACCTCACCTTTTGCTAAAACATTTTGTCTCACAATATCATATTTAGAGTGAAACTAGTGAGGAACTCAAAACCCAATTTCTCTCCACCAACTTTCTGTGTCTGAGCATCTTTTGTGCACCCCTACACAACAATCTCCATCAGACCAATATCCTGCCAAAGAGATTTTAGCATGGAGAAGTAAATAGCTAAGGGCTTCTCCCCCTGTCTTAAATTGTTCACATCATTCTTTAGTTTGTAAGCCCTATCAACATTTAACTTCTGGGAATAGGTATCCATGACACTATCCCACACCTCCTTCACAGTGTCCATCCATAGGTAGTGTTGGCTAATATGAGGTTCCATGGAATTTACTAACTAGCCTACTATTGTGTAATTTTCTTGCATCCACCTCTCATTTTTTTTTTTTGAGAGAAAAGTAAAGTATCAATATATTAAATATGAACAAAATATACAGCAAGATAAAGTGCTAAAGGAGACCAGAAAAATGTTCCCTCTAGACTTGAACCCTACCTTGCTTTACATAAAGATTATCATGTACAAAAAAAGGACTCAAAACCTATACGCCTAACCAGCCTGTTACCAGATAACCAAGAAAACATCTTTTCCACAATTTTCTAAAAAATGGAATCAGCGGAACTTGTCTTATTTTTGAAAACCCGACTGTTTCTTTCTTGTCACAAACACCTATGGAGTCATCCTCCATAGGTTTATTTATGCTCCCATTGATGTACCCCCATTTCCCTCTACTACAGACACGAATCTTTATAGACCGAGAACATGTCAAAAAATTGGTTCCATCCAACTTTACTATGGTTACTACTCTTAACAAAGTCTCCACAGACCCTCCCTAGCCAAACCCGGTGTCTGTGGGGTATTTTGTCTCACCACCAGTTTGCTCCAATGACTAAAAAAGAAGCAACTGAAAATCAAAACAGGATATTACTAATCAAGAATCATTGACCTAAATCCAAAACTGCTTCTCAACCACCCAAAACTAGGGTTTCACAAGACCCAACAACCCGAGAGGAGAGAAAATCCAGCCGCTCCTATCAGGGACTCCAAAACTTTTTCCAACCTAGATCGATCTCAAAGAAGATAACAGAACTTCCTTTCAAGCCCCAAGAGACTGTTTAAAAGTGTCTCTAGAACCCTTAATTCGGTTTCTCCAATTATCTAAGATTTTCAGGAAAATCTCCAAGAACCTGTCTTGGGCCTCAGACTAAGAGTAAATTCCTCTCCAAAAACCCTTCCAAATTGGGCTTTATAAGCTGCCAATAAATCAGCCAATAAGTTCTCCATACACACAGTGTATGGGCCTAACAGAATAAATTGAAGAAGATGAGAACCTACTCTGATATCAAATTGCAAATCACACCAGCAATAAATCTGGAAAATAGAATAAAGAAGAAATAAAAGAGGAAGAAAGAGAAGTTTTGATAGAGATTTAGAAGAAAGAAAAGAGAATGGAAGAAAAGGGAAGAGGAAGAGAGCTGATCGTCTCTCTCTCTCTCTTTGTCCCTCAGCAGAAACAAAGCTACTGAAAAAATAAATAAAACTAAGGCCCATTCAGCCCAATCTCTCTAGAATCCTCATCTCCGCTACATTCATTTTTTGAATGGTCATTAACATACCTCATTTCCTTGGGTAGACCTCCAGAACATAACAACATCCTATTTATTGCTTCCTGTTTACTTAAATCAGTTACTTTAGTTTTGGATTTCAGTACAATCTTGACAGTCAGCCTATCATCAGTGAGGAAGTCCTACCATGAGGAGTGATGCATGCCCAAAGTTCTTTGTCTCACTTCTTTTAAACTTCAACATTTAGGGTAATCTGTTTTACTTGTATTCTTGTGAATAGAATTAGCTGTTTTGAAGGGAATAAGGTCCACTGCCAAAAAGAGGAAATGGGGTTGAGGTGTTTTAACTACATTCCGGAAAGAGTGGCAAAGAGGAATTCAGGAGGTTGGCACTCTTACGTTCTTGACCTAAAAACCGAAAACCCTACAACTGTTGGCACATGTAAAGCGAAACTGTTTAACTATTGAGACTGTACTCTACCACCATGGTTCTGCAGCCAACATGGCAGCTCTCACTCTGGCAGAAAGTAGCCTTTCCATGATGGATCTCACCCTGGTTGCAGGTAGTCCATTCCCTCTGGTGCCTTTCACTCTGCTCCATATAGCCCTTTCCATGATTTGAAACTAAGATGTGGAGTAGGCTCTGATATCAATTGTCTCAAAGAGGCAGAAACCTACAGTGTTTTAGCTCAACAAAGACGATACGGATATGAACTCTTTCCCATCAGATCAAATATGCTAGGGTTGTTCCAACTCCATCACCAGATTGAAACTTGAAAGTTAATGAATCTTTCAAGTGGAGCTTGGTTGGCGGAAGAGGAACTTTATTCGTGCTAATCACTATTTCAGAAGTGGAGCTTGGTTGGCGGAAGAGGAACGTAGAATGTGAAGTTTTGAAAATGATCAGAAATCTAAGTTGGAACAAGGCATCCAATGTCTGATGGCTTCACTATGATGTTCTACCAAAAGTCCCAGCCCTCCATGGAAAGACTTCACAGAGGTAGTCATGTCAATTTTCCATTCAATGGAAGTGCTCACTCATGATTCATTGCATGTGGTCAGAAATTAGGAGCAGTGTAGCTTAAATGCACCAGGACTGTAGGGTGATGTCCAGGCAAGTGCTGAGGGTATGCAGGGAGTGCAAGGGAGGGTGGTGAAAGTATTGGGGAACACAAGAAGGAAAGGTAGTTGGGAAGCATTGTCATCGATTTTGAAGAGGTCTTTGCATTGGGAAAAAAGCCTTGGGAATAGTGAGGGCAATGCAGCCATAGAAGTAGAGAACCTTCTGGAGTTAGCTTGAGATTTGGGATGTACAGTTGCTTGATTGCTGACTAAGGAGGTGTTCGCCGATATGTATGCTTTTTTTTTTGAGAGGAACAAATCAACCTAGCGGTGGAAATGTTTGAGAGGAACCAGTAGGATGGTAAAAGGGCTTCTATCAAAGGGTGGTATTGTAATTTCATCTCTAATCCTGGTTCTCCCTCTCCACCTTTACACAGTATAGAGGAAGATTCTTGATTTTTGCTTTAAGGGGAGTGGGGTGAGATGCTTCGAAATCTCAGAATTACTTAAATGATGAAGTTGTACATCAGTAGGAGGTAAAGAGCAAGCTACCAATAATGATTACTACACTCCCTGGCGCTGGAGAACTTAAGATCATCATAATCTAAAACTTAAAAGGACATCGAAATTGAAATAAATTGATGAGGCATTCACAGGCATTGCAACAATGAAGTTGAAGTCAACATACAA